GCGATTCCTTCAAAGTTGAATGCTTTGGTGCACAATCATAACTTGCAAACTCAAGTCCAATAGTTGAGAGATGAAATTAATGAATTAAAAGCTTTGTTTTAAATGAAAAGTAAAAGTGCCGAACAAGAAGATGGAAGTGAAAAACTAGAATCAATAAATGTTTTTCTAAATTACATATACTTTCTATATTCAAGGTAATAAATTGCACAATTGTATATGAATTTTACAACCTAGAAAGAAGCTTTAATGGTCAACATAAGAAATGTAAATTGTTATCTTGGATTGGGAAAGCTAATATTGTTGCAAAAGGCAAAAACGCATCAACACACCCAAGTATCTAGTGCATCATAGTGCATCGTGTACTCCCCTGGGTAATGAATGTTGAAGAGCTTAGGTTAATGAAGTGATTGATAATGTCAACTTATGTCGTCCCACACGTGGGTTTTTTTTTTCTTGAAGATGCATTAGGAAGCACACTTGCATGGCCAATTAGTTACATCGAAGTGAATTTGCTATAATCACAATAAAGGTATGCTTAACTTCTTTTCTATTTTAATTCTATTTATAAATACATTCAGCCTCAATTGAAGATTAGGTTGTCTAAAATCAAGAAGTTGATGAGTGATTTATTTGAATTGAACATTAGGTTTTTATTTGGTTGCCAAAATGATTATTTATATAAAATGACTTAAGATCACGATAGCATTTGAAGGAAATTACCTTAGTAATTAATGCTTATCTTCATAGTTCTATCTTCTTTTTCAAAGAGTTCTCCTGTTATATGTTGTTATGTAATTCATATGAACTTCTTCACACATGTCATGATGAAGTTTTGCAAGGGTTTGTCTTTATGTGTTGATGTTTTATGGCTCTTTATGTTAGTATTTTAGTCGCACACTTAATCATTTTTTGGAAGATATGGTGTTTTTATAGATGTACTTCTGTCATTGTCTTGACATATGGTGTTTTACTAACAATATATTCAACTAATTACTTGTCATATATACTATTTTGATTAGATAAAAGTTAATATATTTCTTGATGTACTTTTATTTATATGCTCACTCTAAATTTATTAACTACACCCTTATTATTTCTATCATGTGCAGGGAGTTGATATTTGGTAGAATAGCTAAATTGTCGGTCAAAGAAGTAGACTTTGATACAGTTTAATCATTTTTTTATGAAGTAGTAGTATATAATTTTTGAAAATTGTCGAGATGAAATTTACATTGACATATTGTATTAAACCGTACTCAATATTTCTAATTATTGAAACAATGGAAAACTTGATTCTACATGGATTATGGCATGCATCCAATGAACTTCGTAAAAGGTATGAACTATATTGTGTACATGTTAACACACTGTAAAAAGTAATATACTTTTTATGGCGTGCTACTGCACACTGTAGAATTTAAAAAGGCATTCTCTAAATGGCATACTTTGCACGCAGTAAAAAATAAACCATTTTTTATGGCATTCCCTTATACGGCATTTTTCCATGTACTGTAATGATTTACTTACAGCATAGAAAAATCTTTGTTGAAGTGATGGCACACCAACTAATTGGTGAATCATCAATAGTTAGAGTTAGAAAACAATGATCATTTTCACTTAAGGAACAATCCTATATAAAGGACATGTTTATAATTTTTATTTATTCATTTTTTTTAAATAGCATTCATCAATCAGCAACAAGATGGAAAATATCCTAATCCGTGTAGTACCAATAAAACTAGCCTAACAAATTGTATTACCAGCTTTTCAACCATTGACAACTTAAAAGAAATAATTGGCAAACACATTACACACTTAATTGTCTAGGATAAATGGTTTTGGTAACAATGAAGGAAGGTCCTTGTTCAGCTCCGCCTATTCATCTCTACAAATAGTGAAAGTAAATTTTCGTGTTCTAGTTCTCACTCTATTTTGGGGACCCCCCCTTCACTATCTTTTCCTTTCTTTTCTAGTCTATAGGTCCAATCTCATCTACTAGCGCTTCTTCGTTGCTTGGTCGGGAGACATTCATCAATTTCTTTTAATTGTTCTTGGGCTTGCAAGTGACTTACTGCTTTTGGCCATTCTTGCTGTCTTAATTAATAAACACTTAATGAGGCGACGAACCTATGCAAGATAGTTACAGACTCTATAATTTGACAGTTATATTATACATTAAAAAGCTGTTTGGCTTAGATAAAAAGTAAATTTTTATTAGATTTTAGTAAAAATTGTTGAAAGATATGGTTGGAAAGTTAATAAAAATTGTGGGTCCTATAAAAATATTTGGTTAAAAATGAGTTTGACGGAGAAATTTGAGTTTTAAGAAATGACAAACAAATAGAAACTAAATTGTCAAGGATAAAGGAATTTGAATAAGATGATAAGATTCTTAATATGTATAAGATAATTAAACATGGACTTACACATGTAAGTTTTATAAATAACAAGAAAAAGTTCTAGCACATTATTTATAAAGGTCTCTAACTTGATTATATATGGGAAGATGATTAAATCCTGTAATCTCCTACCTTATAAGGTGCTATTTTGCATGATCTGATGGATTAATTCAAAATGTACAATTAATTGTTACATCAATACATGGTATATGACGTATTGACTTGAACGAACATAAAGAGAGACACGATCATATGGCTCTCTTTTTGTCACTCTCTCCTTTTTGGTAATAAATTTCAATCTGAATAGATAAATATCATAATTGCTTCACTTTCAAAGGTTAGAATCAAACCAACTGCAAAATTGTGGGGACACACAAAAGTTGCAGATACTGCCAAAGCCAGAACTGCCATTGAATGTGGAAGAAAAGGGAAAGCATTCATTCAACAAAAATGCGTTAATCTATGCATAATTATGTTGTCCTCAAAAATAGAATACTCCATTTATCTTAATTATATAGGTTAAATTTCATTTTTCTCGTCCCAAATATATAAGTATGTTTTCTAATTTAGAATAGTTTGTTTTGTTCCTTTACGAATATACCTTTATTCAATTTTCCCTACTTAATATGTCAACTTCTTGAAGTCATCCAAATACACAGATTTCTCATTTCTTGAAAATATGGAACAACTCTCATTTCTTCCTCTTCAAATTAAACCTTTCAAATTCTTTACTAATTCCAAAAATAATTTACTATTAGATACTGAAAATTAAATAGGGTAAACTAAGAAAGTTCTTGACAAAAATAAATTTTTCAATAACATTAAGGCACTATTTGGTTCTCATTTTTATCAAAATACGTTTTTCTCTCTCATCTTTTTAACCACACATTTTTCTTTAAAATAATATTATAAGTAAATTAAAAAAATTTCTTTATTTTTTATCTACACATTCTCCATCAATCTATTATTCTAAAATTTATTTTTTCATAAAAATGGGTGTCAAACACCCTCTAAAGAAGATTTCTTAGTCCGTGTGGAAAAACGAAACAAGCCTATATAATTGGGACGGATGAAGTATTTTCTCAGGAGTTATACTTTCCGAGGCTACTCTCTCCAACACCTGTTCATTGACTTCAATTGCACTACTCGTTTTAATAATAAATTCAAATCCCATTTTAGACTACTATCCGTGGACCCTTCCATTTCACACCCTTATATACAATGATACTTTAAAATGCTAGTAAGAGTTGAACGTACGTTGCACATTATTTTGAAATATTTTATAAATATTGTAAAAGTAATATTTGATACCAATTTATTGGTAGGATTTGATGAGTTTCAAACGAATTAAAGAAAATAAAATTTTTGATAGAAATTTAAGAGTGGTAAATTGTACTCTTTAAACTCAACTTCTTTGATTCAAATTTTTTTGTAATGATGAAATACTATAAATGAGTAATCTTTTTATGCACTTGGTACATAAGAATTAATTGCTAATACAAGAATTTAAATATTTATCTATTATACCTTTAGATTCATACAGATCAAGATTCATTAATTCAATATTCATTGAGTCTAGATTAATGTGAATGTTAATTAATTAAAAATTAATAACACAAAACTCATACATGATAAGGATTTTATGGTATGTATTACATATTAAAAAACGAAAAGTAAGGTATTATTGAAATTATTGAATTATAGTAGGATTAAAATCATTCAAAAAAATGATTTTCCCTTAATGTAATATTTAATATATTATATATTATATATTTACTTTTTAAAAGATAAAGATAAGAAATGGCGAGAACAAATTCAGAACTGATATTGAGGGCGGCGATGAGGCAGCTACCTTAGGGTCCAGAATAATTTGTAAAATATTATTAGTTTCTAAAAGTTGATGCAAATGTTGTGTTTCTCTAATGGCAAAGAGAAGAATATGAAGATTATGCTTAACCAAAGTTTAAAGTTCAAGTCATTCTTTCTTCCTTCAATCCCCTTTAATTTTCTCTCTACAGACATTTTCAATTGTTTGGACAATTTCTTTATGAATAATCTCAAATCAAACTAAAATCTCACTTCAATCTCATATTTAAAAATAAACTTTAAGAAAAAAAGAAACGAAGCTCTCCCATGAGCTTGCTTAATATTTGATTAATTTAGCTTAAGTGCTTTTTGTTTTATTGTTGGTTTTTAAGTTTATAAATTTAGCTCTGAACATTGCTGATGAAGAAAAAAAAGTTAAAAATGTATATTTGATTTGAGGGGCTCAAGTTTCAGCGTTCGACTTACTATGAAAGTGTGGCTGTGGTTGGTAAAACCCATTTAACATTATTTAAACTTCAATCACTTGTTAATTTTTTTGCAGTTATAGGATGAAATTATGTAAACCTATTGTTGAAACTTGGAATTAAGTTAATTCTTAATTGAAGCTTGCAGAAACAGTGTGCAATTTCTAATCAAAGTTTCCAAATATTTTGATAAATATTTCTTCGATGTTTCTAATTTATTCAAAAAGATAAAAAATAAAAACTAATAAAAATAAAAAAAAGAAAAAAGAAAAGAAGTAAAACTATATATTAACGAAGTGTCATAACTGAAACTATATATACTCACCACACAAATACAAAGACACAGAGACAGAGAGAGAGAGAGATGACAGAGTTGGAAAAGAAGAGCATGTACGTAGAACAAACCCCAGAAACATTGGAGATTGACCCTAACAAGAATTTCGACGATGATGGCCGAGTCAAACGAACTGGTATACGACACACAGATGCCAACATATGTATAAGCAAACTTAGTCCATTATTTTTGTTTTTGATTGTTCTTGTTTGGTTTGAAGGTACTTTGGTGACTGCAAGTGCACATATCATAACTGCAGTGATCGGGTCGGGCGTGCTCTCACTGGCTTGGGCCATATCTCAGTTGGGATGGGTGGCTGGTCCGGCAGTTCTTGTGGCTTTTTCTTTCATAACCTACTTCACCTCCACCCTACTAGCCGACAGTTATCGCTCTCCTGGACCCGTCCATGGCAACCGAAACTACACTTACATGGACGTTGTTAGGTCTCATTTAGGTAACAATTTCTTGGAAAATTTGATGCATACTTGTTAAGATTAATCTGAGATGCATCTAATTTTTTTTGGTTAAATTTTCAATAATTTATAGGAGGTGGGAAAGTTCAGCTTTGTGGATTAGCCCAGTATGGTAATCTCATTGGGGTTACAATTGGATACACAATAACTGCATCCATTAGTATGGTGTACGTATTACTATTAATCTTTTTGCTAGTGTTTTACAAACTAGAATCGGCTACTATTCGTAATTTGATGTGTGTTTTTGAGTTATTGTCAGGGCGGTCGAGAGGTCAAATTGTTACCACAAACATGGCCATCATGTCACATGTTCGATATCAAACTATCCGTATATGATAATATTTGCTGTAATTCAGATAATTCTTAGCCAAATACCAAACTTCCATGAGCTGTCATGGCTGTCTATTGTAGCAGCAGTCATGTCTTTCGCCTACTCTTCCATCGGCCTCGGCCTCTCCATTGCAAAGGTTGCAGGTATTAGACTCTTAGTTTAATTATCCAGCTATTTGTTATGTAAAATGGTTTTTTAAGCATAATTGATTTAAGATTTTGGTCCACTATGACGAATATTTGTGGTTTGGATTAAATAAGGTGGTGGGCGTGTTCGGACAAGCCTAACGGGAGTAACAGTCGGAGTGGACGTGTCCGGTTCGGAGAAGGTCTGGAAAAGCTTCCAAGCCATTGGAGATATTGCCTTTGCATATGCCTATTCTACAGTACTTATTGAGATCCAGGCAAGTCAATTATTTGAAGATATACATACACATACACTTATGTTGTAGCTACACATTAATGTGAGCATATTAAATAAACAGGTCTCCTCTCCTGTCTGTGCGCATGGTAAAACTTTCCATTATTGACGTGTTTAATGATAATTTTCTAAAGTAGTCATAAATTCAAAAAATCATAATGATCTCTTGCCACGTTAACAGTGGATTTTTTATCTTGTCGACTAGGGACAGGTGATCAATTCTAATAAATATAATATATATAAATTTGATTTATCCAGCACAGCACACATGATATTCTTTATCAAACAGATATAAGGCATTTGATCCAAACTTGAAATATGTGCCTAATTTAATGCAGCATATAGTATGAATTGCTCCATCTGTCTTCGTATGTGCGTTTGAGAGAGAGAGAGAGAGAGAGTATTATTTGTCGTAGTTTATATTTATTCACATATACACTTGTAGCATAACAATGGAGTGGATAAGTGTCGTTTCACTATATATAGACTCTCGAGATAGACACGGAATGGATTATTCAGTGTATGTACAATAAAAGCTACTTCGATCTATTGCAACATAGATTATTTCTAAGTATAGTAACTTCTTATCATAAATCTATATTTATGAGAGAAGCGTGTCATTGCACTCATATTACACCAGATGTGTGTATTTTGGCCAATCCACGACTATTCTAGAAAAAACTCGTGTTTTTATTTTTAGTTTTTTCAATTGAATACAAATCAACTTTTATGAAAAATAAGTGGCGTGATTGAAGAGAAGGCCAAAATAGATAAATAGGTCCATCCTGCTTAAGGTCCACAACGAAGGCTAAAAATAATTCTTTCAATTCTGTTTCTACTTTCTAGTGCTAATGGAAATTGGACCACTAGCCTTTGAGATTTGGGTTTAGATTCGTCACGTCACACTGTTGATTGACATTATTGGAATCATCCTTATACAGAGTCACATGAGATCCAGATCTTTGGGGGTACCACACAATCTTTGAATTTGCATGGTTGGACAAGAGCAGTACAAAGTTTCTAAAAATTTACTTAAAGACAATAAATGAATATTATCTATCATCAAACAATCTATTTTATCCGTAGATTAAAATCAGATATTAGTAGTTTTTGACAAATTTTGATTCAATATGTGGCTTGAAACTTATGAATATAATGAAATGTGTTATTGAAATTTATTATTTAATTTGACTTGAAATTTTAATTTAACTTAATCCGAACCAAAAATGGACTAAATATTATCTACAGGACACTTTGAAGTCCCCGCCCCCAGAGAACAAGGTAATGAAAAAGGCCTCATTAATAGGAGTATCGACCACGACCATGTTCTACATTCTATGTGGTTGCGTAGGGTATGCTGCATTTGGGAATAAAGCTCCCGGAAATTTCCTCACTGGATTCGGATTTTACGAACCCTTCTGGTTGATCGACTTCGCCAATGTCTGCATCGCCATCCACTTAATTGGTGCTTACCAGGTAAATAAATATTCTATAATCCACTGTTTGAACCAGTAACCCGCGATAATATTTTCGTATCGCTTTTTCTTCAACAGGTCTTTGCCCAGCCTATATTTGGTTACGTTGAGAAACGTTGCAGCCAGAAATGGCCAGAAAACAAATTCATCGGGACCGAGCATGCCATTGACGTTCCACTATGCGGCTCTTGGTACATTAACTTGTTCAGACTGTTATGGAGAACAGTTTATGTCATAGTGACAGCCGTGATAGCCATGATATTTCCGTTCTTCAACGATTTCTTGGGTCTGATTGGAGCAGCCTCATTTTACCCACTAACAGTGTATTTTCCCATAGAGATGCACATTGCACAGGCCAAAATACCCAAGTATTCCTTCACATGGATATGGCTTAAAATACTGAGTTGGGCTTGTCTGATTGTGTCACTTGTTGCTGCTGCTGGATCCATACAAGGGCTTGCCCACGACGTCAAGAAGTACAAGCCCTTCGAAACTCAGTAAGATTTAGTTAGTACTAGACATAATGTAAAGTTTTGAATAAGAATTTATGAACTTGTCCGGATGTATTTTATATATTTGGGGAACATCAAAGACGGACTCATTACGGCAGTAAGAAACTGGAAATAAACCTACCTTGTTGCTAATGCAAAATCTGTTCTACTGGGTGCATGAAATTTGATGATTTACTACGCCTGTATTTGAACAGACGAGCAATGACGACTGAGCAATCTCAAAAGTAGACCTAAATTTTGCTGGTAGCATTGTTATAAGAAAAAGAATGTTCATAAGAATTTGAAGTTCATGCAGGGTAAGATAATGGTCCAATGGCATATTGGTAAGGAGAATTTCTCACCATATTAAAGCATAATAGAAGATAAAATCTTATTTATTAGTGTCGTGTATTAAAAATGTGCTAAAGGGTCGCATAAACTCCCTATTCTATGTCAAAATAATGTTCTAGACGCCCCCGGAACATAGTACAATGGTGCAAAGGATAGGAGTAAGGTTATTTTACGCCTTGCTGGCAGTCGCAGTGTGGGGGTTCGATTTCTTAGAAAAGAAATTGGACTCTTTGTAAGCGCAGTGCACAGACAGCTCTTATTCCCTGACCTGCTGGGGCACATCCTGCGATTTACCTCCCTCACAAATCTCTAGGGTCGGAGCCGTGAGGGGCCTTAAGGTTGGGGTTCAACCCTTTTTTTTTTTTTTTTTTTTTTTTTATATAAATAATGGCCTAGGCTCTAAACGTGTGGCCTCATAGGGTGGTACATCCTAAATCATTTACTTGAGTTGTGTCATATCTGATCCATACCACAATTTGGAAATTCTAAACTAACCTAAAAATGATAACCAATCCGCAAAATATGATTGAATTTTAAAAACCTTATGGGCAATCCTTAATTTGCTATTTATATAATGTATCTCGTGTGTCTCGCCATTCCATTCAACAAAATGCACAATTCATATAGAAACTCTTACAGCTACACTAACCCCCACAGCCCATACCACGATTGAGCACATTCATCTTCCTCTCAGCAATATAATTATAACCATTCTAGAGACTATGTTGAAACCGTCCATTATTCTACTGTAAGAGTCAATATAAAATTGGTGGACTTTGATGATCTTGTTGATCCCAAAATATTTCTTGAATGGTTAGATAATCTTGAAAAGTTCTTTAACTTCCACAACATTATTGACTCTCGTTGTGGTCGTCATGCTAGTGCGTCATTTGTATTTGCTAAGCATTATTGAAAGTTATTTATGTGTGACATTGATTGCCGAGATTAGTATTGCATCATTTTGTGATATGAGATTAAATGAATATTAAGTCCTTGTTTGGTTCAAATAAAAAATTAAATTAAAATATAGGGATTTCAAAACTTTTCATCTATATTTCATTCATTTTTATCAAAATCTACTAAAATTTTGATTTTTATCTAAACCAAATGGGTAAGTAACAAATGCGCTCCTTTCTATTAGCGAACTCAGTCTTAACATCTTTTTAGGCAAAGTACGTCCTTTATTACTGATTATCTGACCACTTCGAAGAGCTATTAATAAACAGTTGTGTTATTTACGAAATCCGTATGTCAGAGTTTCTAAATTTATAGACAGTTGGATCCTAAAATCAAGTGTCTTATCTAGTGATACCTCAGTCGTTAATTAGTAGAGGCTTACAGCAAGACATTACAAATTGAAAGACTCTTATCTTTTCAATACAGAAGGCCTACGCCTCACGTGCGTTGAGTCTTGACAGACTAATTCTAGCTGGTTAGTCTTCCTGAGTCAGCTCAACAATTTTTTTCTAGGATAATCGATAAGACAAGTATCAGTCATTGTATTGTTTCTCCTTCTATGCCTCGCTCATCTTTCTATTCCCAAACCAGTGTGTCCTCACCGTCTTGCTGATAGCCATGTAGATTCTTCATGCTCACATTGTCATCATTTTTCCTGATAACCATGTAGATTCTTCAAGAGTTTTGAGCATTGTGTTGCGTCTCCTCTCAAGATCACCCATTTAGTAGAAACAATTGCCCATGACATAGTTGAGAAATTACCTAAGGAAATGACAACTAGGTCAAACATTCCACATGTTGTCGACTTAGTGCAAAATCATTATCCTTCACACATTCTTTTTCTAGTGATTTCCTCGCATAAATTATACTCCCCCGATTGCCTCATTGTTTTCCAAGGAAAATATCCGCTTGCATACTTTCCATGTCGATATTAGATCGTTGACTACTAATTACAGTCACATTGTTTTGTCTTCGATCTTTTTTAACCATGTGCACAGTTTTTATGCTGAGATAAACTAAGGATTATTTTAAATAATGGAAATTATGTGCTTTCTTTTGATGTGCATGGTATCCTAAATAAGTAATGGACTTTTTTTTTTTTTTGGGATCACTCACTTGAATATAATCTAACTGGCCATTGTACTTGAATGAAAGCTTTTATTTTTCATATAGTAATCAGGGTATATTTAAGTCATCGATGTTGCATGTTGGAGGAAAGATGGGTTTACTAACTTGGATTGGTTAAGGCTTTTATAGAGGACAACACTAATAGGAAGAAGGAGGTGAAAAAAAGGAAACTTGTATTTCTCAAATTCAAGACTTTACACACTTTTTGGCTTGTTACAAAAATGGAGGGCACTACCCCTTTATATAGTGTTTACAAGAAGATTCTAGTCCACAAATTTTCTAGAGACACCTAGGCTACACATCAAGATATTTTCCTAGAATTCTCTAGATATTCTTTATAAAATCACATATCTTATTTAGATATTTATATAGATTTTTCTAGATAATGCTTCTAGAAATGCTATGCATGTTGGGCCTTTAATTGATTTGGGCCTATAAACAAAATCCTTAAACCCATATTATTTAGTTCAAAAATCAAGTTTATTGCTCAACATCCCCCCTTAAACTTGATTTTGCTACTCCAAGTAGAGCTCTTAACTTGCGGAACACATCATGCTTGAGTGGCTTAGTGAGAATGTCGGTGATCTGCTCCTAGGAGGTTACATATTTCAGTTGCACTTCTTTCTTTGCAATGTTTTCTCTTATGAAGTGATATCTTGTATCAATGTGGTTGCTTCTATCATGGAATACTGGGTTCTTTGTCAATGCCAATGCCGATTTGTTATCAACATGGATTTCGATTGGCTCTTCTTGTGATACTCCAAGCGTCTTCAACAAGTTTCTAAGCCAAATCGCATAGCAGACACTTGATGTAGCTACAACATATTCAGCTTCACATGTAGATAGTGCTACGATCGATTGCTTCTTTGAGTTCCAAGTGAAAGTTGTGTCGCCCAAGTAAAACACATACCCAGTCGTACTCTTTCTATTATCACTATCTCCGTCCCAATTGCTATCACTATATCCAAAAAGTTTGAATTCATTAGATGATGAATAGACTAAGTCATAATCAATCGTACCTTTGATGTAGCGAAAAATTCTCTTTGCAGTTTTCATATGGGTCATAGTAGGTGTCTCCATATAGTGACTGATGAGCCCAACTCTAAAAAGGATATCGGGTCTTGTGCACGTCAAATATCTTAGACTTCCAACAAGATTCTTAAAAAGTGTTGGATTTACTTTTTCACCTTCATCATTCTTCGACAACTTGATTCCGCATTCAACGGGGGTGCATACGGGCTTACAGTCCTCCATATTGAATTCTTTAGAATTTCTTTCGCATATCCTTCTTGTGAGATGAAAATGCAGTCCTCCATTTGTTTTACCTCTATCCCAAGATAGTAGGCCATGAGGCCGATATCCGTCATCTTGAATTCTTGAGCTATGACTTTCTTAAACTCAGTGATCATACTTTGATTATTTCCTGTGAATATAAGATCATCTATATACAAACAAACAAGCAAAATATCTCCTTTCTCATTTACCTTTGTATAAAAGGCATACTCATGAGGGCATTTTGTAAAGTCATTTTCTAGAAAATACTTGTCAATTCTACTATTCCATGCCCTTGGAGCCTGTTTCAACCCATATAAAGCCTTTTTAGTTTCAAGACTTTACCTTCATGTCCTTTTACTTTATAGCTCATTGGTTGCTCCACATAGATTTCTTCTTCGAGATAACCATTTAGAAAAGCTGATTTCACGTCCATTTGAAATATCTTTCACTTATTTTGCGCTACAAGAGAGATAATTAATCTTATGGTTTCTAAACGAGTAACAGGAGCAAATACCTCTTCATAATCGATTCCCGACCGTTGGTTGTAGCCTTTGGCAACCAATCTTGTTTTGTATCTTTTTACGTCTCCTTTAGCATTCTTCTTTACCTTGTACGCCCACTTAACTCCGATTGTTCTCTTTCCTTTGGGAAGAGTTGTTAGCTCCCACGTGTTATTTTTCTCTATAGCCTTAATTTCTTCATCCATAGCATCTCTCCATCTTTTATTTTATGCCGCTTCTTCATACCCTACTGGTTTACAATCGACAAAAAGACAAAAAAGTGTGAGATCATTTTGATTCTCTATTAGCTCATATAGCTCTTGTAGGCTCCTCATCCGTGGTGTCCTTTCGCTTAAACTTTCTCCTTGTGAAGATGATGGAGAAGCATCTCCATGGGTAGGCGATAGAGGTGGATTGATAATCTCTTGCTGTTCTCCATTCTCTTGTTCTTCTTCATCAAAGAATGGTAAGAAGTCATAGTCTTCTTCTTGGACACCCCAATCCCAAGCTCCTTTTTCATCAAACTCGACATCTCTACTTATGGTGATCTTCTCATTGCTTGGATTATACAACTTGTAGCCTTTAGAGCGAGAGTCATAGCCGATGAAGACATACCTTTCACTTTTGTCATCTAACTTGGACCGTTTTTGATCTGGTAAATGAGTATATGCAATGCTTCCAAATACTCGTAAGTGAGAGATGCTGGGCTTTCTTCCACTCCATGCTTCTTGTGGTGTCATATTCCACACACTTCTAGAAGGTGATCGGTTAGACAGATACACGGCGTAATTAACAGCTTCAGCCCAAAGTTCTTTGGGTAATCTCTTACTTTTGAGCATGCAGCAGGCCATGTTAAGAATGGATCTGTTCTTTCTTTCGACTACTCCATTTTGTTGTGTAGAGTATGGAACTGTCAATGGGCGACGAATTCCATTCTCCTCACAATATT